AACGAAGGAATATACACGAAAGAAATGAACCGTGGCACACCACAGAGTTTGGCTGTGAACCGTCACTTATGTGGATGTAACATCTAGTGTTGACTTAATAAAAAAAAAAATGGTTTAGCAGAAGTAGAAGAGGGACGTGGGATGGTGGTAAAAGCAAGCTAAATGCTCATTTTCTGTGGTAGGAAGTAATGAATAAAAGTCATATAAGAATGCTATTTAGATACACTGAGATCATTCTAGAATTAGACCAGAGAGCTGAAAGTCGTTGCATTTGGGCGGCAGAGATCAGAGGTCTGTAGGACGGGGGCAGGCCTGAAACCATGTCTGTGTATGGCTCGGACTGTAGGAAGGGCTTATGTGTCTCTGTGCATACCCAGATTGGCAGCTCACAGAGGCACAGTCAAAGCTGAGGGATTGTTTGCCTACAACAACATGTTAACAACGCAAAGAAATGAACAGGAGCTCCCTTATTTTGGGTGTTGTGCATACGGCCGAGGCAGAAGGGCTTCCTTTTTCTGGTTGTCTGGAAATAAATTCTTTACACCATTTCTTTTCTTGTCCGAACCTTTGTATTCAGGGTTGAACTCATCTTTAATTTCAGCTTTTGTTGAGAGCACTTGGCGGAGCTCTGTCCTAACACTGGGGGAAGAAGGCCTGGGGGAGGCAGGCCGGTGTAGAGAATTCCGGCTTCGTCATTTGTCTGTCAGCTTTGGGCCCTGGCTGGTTACTAAAGTCCTTTTCCTTGTCTGAAAATGGAGAAAACACTCCTTGCCTCATAGGATCGTGTGAGGAATAAATGAATAATTTAGTATATTAAGTGCCTGGCGCATAGTAGTTGCCCAAAACATTTAAATAAAAAAAAATATGCAAAGGAACATTGTGGTTAGCCCTTGGTTGAGCACAGGAACCCTATAATGTTGGGTCTGGGCCCTACAGATGAACCGTCCAGAAGAAACAAGAGCTTGGAGGGAAGGGGAAGGCAGAAATAATCCAGGAAGTCATCTGATTTTAGCAGAAATTCTTACTGCATTTTGGGTACAGTGTCTTCTGATCTGACTGTAGAGCTCAGCAAATTTGTGGAGACCTAGATCCTGGAAAGTTTTATGTACCAGGATCGATAAGAGCTCTTAGCTAATTTAGCTTCCATATCTAAACAATCAGAAAAGTCGCTCATATTCCAGATAATGTGGAATAATGGATGCAGGGTTAACAGGGCTATTTTTTACCCACGGCTCTTGTGTGATTGCTCATTTAAGCCAGGGAGCTGGGGCCTGGGCCCTACCCTTGGGATAAGCTAACCCATTCTCTCACCAAGCCTATTAGTAATGACCCTTGTTTGGAGGATGCTTGTATCAGCAGATGCTGGGCTCTGAAATTCTTATGTTCTTGGCTCATTTCATGAACTTCTTTGGGTTCTTTGGTTCTTTGTGGGCTCTCTAACTCCTGGCTGTGGTCTGTGGTCAGCGTGCACACATTGCATACGTGAAGGTAATGCCTGCATGAGGTATGAGGGAGTTAATGAGGCCAAGGCAGCCTCTCATTTATCTGCTCTCTTCCTTAGATGATTCTAAGTCTAAGAATCATCTTCTGTGGGCACCTGGGTGGCTCAGTTGTTGAGCTTCACCTTTAGCTCAGGGCGTGATGGGTCCTGGGATCGAGTCCTACATCAGGCTCCCCGAAGGAAGCCTGCTCCTCCCTCTGCCTATGTCTCTGCCTCTCTCTGTGTGTCTCTCATGGGTAAATAAATAAAATCTTAAAAAAAAAAAAAAAAGAATCATCTTCTGCTGCCCCTGGGGCTGACTGAGGGCCTTAGCTGAGGAGCTGCCAGGGGCTGTAAGGTGGGAAAATAGTGCAGGCAGGAGTGAGGGCAGGAGCGGCAAATAGGCTCCAAGCGTGAGGAAGGCATGGAGTTAAACTTTGGCTGATTAGCCCTCAGGAGAAAAGTAGTGAAGCCAAATCTAGATGTCAAGCCAGTGACCCTTGTGGAATTGGAGCAGAAGACACACAGATTATGGGAGGCTTCAGTTCGGTGGGTGCTATATTAAAACTGCAAGGAAGCACATGAGTCTATATAGGTGACTCAGGGGCAAGGGAATGCAAGAGGATTCTGTGGTCAGCTGAATGGGTCACACTGGTAAGGTGACAGGAGGCGTAAGGATCGGCCACTTAATAGTAAAACCATATACTAGAAACATCTACTGTCTTATTATTGCTCTATTATTTTTTATTTCCCATGTTTCTGCAAAGTACAAGTTGTACTTGCAATCCAAGACTGTCCCATCAGGTTGCCTCATCTGGCAAAAATCCAGCCATAAACTTGGGAAGGAAGTTAAAAAAAAAAAAAAAAAGTCTTGAGTAGCCACAATGGATGACTAAAACCTAACTGCACAGCCATGCACTGGGTGTTGGTGGGAGAGCTTCTCTGCTCTCAGCCCAGGCCCTGGAAGACTTTGGTGAGCTGGAGCCATCTGGGACCCCAGAGCCGGTCTACACCCAGCTCTTCAAGGGCTTCTGGAAGGGATTCAGGGGATGCTTATAGGAAGAAAAAGGAGGAAGTACCGATGATCTTTGCACTTTCTAGAATATCACCAAGCATCTGTTCTCTCTGGGGCTGCACAGTTTCCTGTCTGCTTCAGCTCTGTTTTCTTTGTGAGGCAGTTTCCTATCCTGCAGGGCCACATGCCCCAATCACTTGATCTTGCACAAGCCATTCGCCTCTTCTAGAGCCCTGGCTACCTTCCCTTTAAGCTCTGGGTCTACCACTAGCTGACTGTCGTCTTTCTTCAGAGTTGCAATTTACAGAGTATCTAATTAGCCCAGCTCCCTCATTGAGGTGAATTGCTTTTAAATGCAAGTCCCACCCTTTGTCCATCAGAGAGGGCTCAGGTGTGAGTGCGGGTTGGGTAGCAGGGAGACAGGTAGGATGACTTGCCTATTGGAGCAATTGGAGGTCTGCAAGCCATCTGCCAAAGGATTTGTTAAGCACAAATGGAACCCCACCTTTCCTCACCAGTCTGCAGATTGCTATGGCTGAAGTGCAGGGTGCACGGGGTGGAGTGGCAGGGGGCACTCGTCAGCTGGGAAGGGGCACAAGCCTTGGCTTCCCAGGGTCTTTGCCTGGGTCACAGGGCCACAGAAATCCAGTAAGTCTGTTTAGACAGATTATGCGGTGAACTATGTCTCACTGAAGGTTTGGCCTGGAGCAAAAGGAGGGAGAAGAGAGGCTAGATAGAGAGAGATGGAGAGAGGGGGCCTCCCCCCCTGTTAGGGGGGCAAGTGAGTCAGTGGCTCCAGAACCCCAAACCCAGGAGCATCTTCCGGGGGGAGGCAGCTTGCTGGCAGGCTCCCAGGTGGCCACCAGTTCAGCTGCATTTGTGAGTAGCCATCTCTTTCCAGCCTGCCTCGGTCTCCCCACCGTGACTTTGGCCCCTGGTGTTTTGTCACTATTAATTATAGACAGCAGCAAAGTGCCCAAAGGCTGCAAGTGATTTTTTCGTTTTCCATGTCACCAGATGCCTTTGTCCTTTGCTCTGCTTGCCCTGAATCATTGCAAGACCTTGACATTTCCACTCCCTCTTCACTTTCATCTGGTGACACTCCGTCTCAGTGTCTGCACTCTCCTGGCCTGGCTGTTGTTTCTCTTGGCATCTCAGAGTCTCTTCCTCCCGGACACTGCACTTGTGCATTACTGCTCTCGTCTTATCTGTTCCTCCTAACCAGTTCCTTCTCGTGCCCCGCACCCCAAGCTTGACTAGGGAAGCTCATTTAATCATCAGGTCTTAGACTTGGGCTGAGCTGAATGTGAACATAAAAAGTGACAACCCAGACGGCTGGCTCTGCATGCTCATTTGCAGAGAAATGTTTCACGCGGTGAGCAAGGATGTGAGTGAGAGAGGGGCCAGGTGGAGGAGAGCAGGGGTAGAGGCCCCAAGCACCTCTCTCCATTGCTGGGAGCAGTTGATAGGGCACAGAGGCCCCGGAGGCAGCATGCCAAGACTGAGACATTTGGAAATTCCTTGCTGGGTCTTAAGGAAATAACCATGGATTTTCCCAAAGATTTAGTTTGAAGGACTATTTGTCATTAACAACAACAAAAAACAACATTGGAAATGGCCAGTTACCATGGGGTAACTGTTCTGGTATGGCCACACAGGGGCAATTTATGTAACCACTGCAGGAGAACACTGGTGACCCAGCACTAAGCCATGCCTTGCTTTACTGCATCTTTGTAAAAAAAAAAAAATAAATAAATAAAAATCCAATAACCAAATAAAACCAGGAAGGGTGTGTTATCTGTAGCTATCTTGGGGGAGAAAAGAATAGGTAATTTTTTGCCCCTTCTGTGGACTTAATTATATTTTCTAAAATTTCTAGATTGAACATAAATTTCTTTGACACTTGGAAAAAGAACAGTTACTTTAAAAACAAATGCTGTCCACCCAGACAGCCATAACAATATATGGGTTGGAAATTCAGTTTCCGTTAAAAATGCTCCCAAAATAAATTAGGGATTGAATTCACATTTGTAACATTACAAACAATACACCGTAGGTCAAAGGGAGACTGAGCGAGTGTGATGTGTTTGTTCACTGAAATCAGCTCTCCATAAGCCTTATTCTAAACACGAAACTTGAGACCAGAACTCTCGTTTACTTTTTCTTGGATTTCTTACTCATAGCAGCAAGTAGCACAGGATTAGGTGACCGTGATAGAGTCTGCTTTGCTTCATCTACAGCTCACCGAAATTGCAGAAGGGGTAGGTCTGGGGGAACAGATGGGCAGCTAGAGTCCTGGGAGAGGGCCGGCTCTTTCAGGTGGCGCTGTCGTTCTGGAAGGGGGCCCTGAAGTGTCAGGAGTGACCAGGGCCGGGAGTGGGAAGGAGGCAGGGTGTTAACCCGCTTGCATGTATTAACAGATGTGCTTTCTGGGGCTCTGTTGGCAACTCTGGTTTGTATGTGTGGTTGTTTTTTTTTTTTTTTTTTTTTTTTCCGTCTCTGCAGGCGAGGTAGAGCCAGCTGTGCAGAGCTCTGCAGCGAGCCGCCCGGAGAGAAGCAGTGAAGTCCTGGAGCCCAGCTGAGATGAACTGGCCTCCTTGAGCCTGCCCAAGCCCTGGCGCCAGGCCTCTGTCCCAGCCCTGAGGTAAGACCGCCCGAATGCCAGCTCGGGGACCAAGAGGGCAGAAAACGCCTTCTCATCCATGGAAACCTCTTCCTCTAAAGGCTCAAGGGAGGAGGAGCAGTTGTTTCTGGTACAAACCATCTGCTTCCACCTTTGGCCATTTGATGGCCAAGGAGGCTTTGATTTTTCAGAGTGGGACTTTTGGAACCTTAACAGGGAGTTGTGTTTTCTCAGTCGCTTGTGACATTTGAACTGCAAAGGGGTTGAATTTAACCTCCACATCAGACTGCACCAGGTTCAGGTGAACACCTGCTCTGTCCTGCCGGGGAAGTTGAGCTCCTTGGAGACTCTCTCTCACACCCAAGGGAGACAGGAGGACAGAAATTATGTGGGGGGGAGAGGGGGGAGGGCGGTGATTGCAAAGCATTCCACTAAGCTCCCTAAAAAATGACTCATTACCTAGATATGTTCTGATTGTAAAGGTAAAATGTGCTCCAGGATATTTGGAAAAATACTGACATGGAAGAAAATAAAACCTGCCTGAAATGCAACCCCTGTTAACAATCCTTCAGGGTGGGTTTCATTAAGGTTCCTCAGTCAGCCCCCAGTTAGCAGTCAACGTCCTCCTGCCTGGAGGTAGAGAGGTGAGGCAGGAAAACCCCAACCAGGAGCCAGGAGAATTGGCTTCTAGTCTGCGGGCTTTCAGAGAGCAGATTTTGTAATCTTCAGGAATTTTGCGAGCTGCTTGTTAAAAATTGTTGACAGCCGGAAATTGGCCACGGTGGGGAAGTTTACAGCATGGGCAATTAGCCAGGGCTACAAACAGGGCCTCTGGTTTGGGAGATTCAAGTTACCAGCTCGCTCTGCCACCAACAGGGACAGGCCGGGACACTTGAAGCAAGTGGCTTCCCCTGTGCCCCCCTCTCCCTCTGTGAAGAGTAGGGGCTCAGTCAGCATTAGCCGAGTGGCCAACAGGAGTGAGACCTCTGTTCTTATCCAGTAAGATGGTTGTGAGGCTCCCTGCCCGCTGGGTTTGGGGGGGGGTGGACTTTGGTAGATGGGTAAACCCCAGGCTTGTCAGTGGAGACGGTCGGCTGGCCCTTCCCGCCTTGGCGCTCGCTTCTTGGGAAATCTGTGAATTACTGACACCCTTTTATAAGGGCAGAGAAAAACTCTCCTTTTCCTGACAGACATCTGGGGCATGTTTCCTTCCTGGAAAAATCGAGGAGTCGGTCAGAGAAGTGTGAAAAGGAAGCCTGGGCGCTGCTGGATGGGAGAGCCAGGACTGAAATGGGAGCTTTTGACTCTGGAACTCTCCTGGGGGGTGTAGGGGGTGGGGAGGGAAGGAGCACTTCCTGCCAAATGTGAAATTTAAACAAAAGCCTCTTTCTTCAAGGCCCTGCTGTGGGCAGATTAGAGCTAATTAAATTAGCATAATGGAACCCCAGCCTCTGCCCTTCCCCCTCCACTTTCAGAATCTTTGGGTTCCCTACCCCTCCCTCCTTTTTGTATCCTGGAGAGGGGGATGGGGAGAAGGTGGGGCATCATCAGTTCAGCACCCCCTCACTTTGTAGAACTGTAGTTCAGAAGGTGATAAAGGTGGGAGGGAGGCCATTTGGTCACACACCCTCATTTTAAGCCAGGTCACACCACTGGTGACAACTGTGGCTGAGGGGATAATAAGCACATGCTCCCGGGGAGGCAAAGAATGAGGCTGGTGGGATGGGGCACTGCTCAGGAAGCCTCAGGATCCTGGAGCCCTTTATGTGACTGGCCCAGGGACCTGGTGGATGGTCTCAGGGGCTGGCCCCTCCTGCACGCTCCCCCAGTAGCTGCAGCCACAGCTCCAGTGCGATGCGTGCCCTGGTCCCCTGGCCTGCTTGAGGTTAAGACCCCTTCCTCATCGGGGCTTCAGTTTTCCAGGTCGGTGAAACCAGCTGGACAGATCTAATTCTGAAGACTTTTAGGTGTGTGTATAAGGAAGGGCAGGGAAGGGTAGGGAAGACTCAGTGATGGCTCTAGGCCCTGTGCTTTGTGCTCTGTTTGCAGGACCTCCTTGAACTCTGCAAAGACCTAACGGGGTAGGTTTTTCTATTAATGAGGCAGATGTGGAAGTGGGGTCTCTCACAGAGGTAAAGAGACTTGTCCAAGATTGGACAGCCCACAGGCAACAGAGCTGTAAACGGAGCCTGGCTGTGACTCCTTGGCTTCTCAGAGGTAGTGGGTGTTCTTCACAGCAAGTACTGCCTACACTGGTGGGAGTTCCCAAATGCAGTTCCAGCCAGCAGGGTCCCTTCCCTCGGGGTACCTCATTCTATCTCTGCAGCTCTGTGAACAGTGGCAGCTGTAGTGCTTGGAGCTTCACAAAAGGCCACATTGTTCCTTTCAGATACCAAGGACTCTTCACTCTACAGTAAGATAGAGTCAGATCTGGGAGCATCCATAAGTTCTTTAGCATAGTCCCCTCACTCGCGTGACACCTGGGGGTAGTGAGTTGGGGTGCTGCTGGCCCCGGGTCTCTGAGTCATCTGGAAGCAGAAGCCTCAGCCTCTGGACTCTCGGCGTTCTTGTCAGGGGGATACCGAGATGGACCTGTTTGGTTTTCGTGATTGTTCCTCTGGCAAGAGGGATTTAATTCAGTTTCACAGATGCTGTGTACCCAGCCACATAACCTGGCATGTTTGGGCAAGAGATCCTGGCTTGATCTTGAGCATACAGGTATGCCAAGGGACAAGGGGAGGTGCGCTCCAGTATTGAGACTGTGTATGACATCTATTAGCCCATAACCATACATCATCTCCAATAATTCTAATGGGGGAGACTGTGTGTCCCAAAGCTCCCAGAGCCCTGAAAAACAGAATTTTCAGTGCTTACCCTGATAACTAGGGAGCAAATCAGCGAAGGCTGAGTTGGGGTCTTTGGAAGATTCTTGCAGAGGGGTGGGGCTGAGGGGAGGAGACAGAGTGGCAGAGGGAGAGATTTGGGCAGGCACTGCTAAGTGGGGCAGGTGCCTCTGCTTGTGGAGCTGGGGCTGGCGGGGGGAGTGGGCTGTATGGTTTTGTAGATAATCAAGAGTCCTTTTCCTCTCTGGCACCCATCAGCTTCAGAAGGAGGAAAAGCTCATGTCAGCTGAGCATTTGGAATGTGAGTCCCGGCTGAAAGAGGTCCTTGGAAAGCTGCTTGGTTGGCTTTCACATCTTCCATCTGAGGAAATGGAGGCCCAGAAAGGGGAAGGGCCTTTTTATGACACCAGTGGACCTGGAATCTCTTCTGAATGTCTGGCCAAGGTCCTTACCCCCACGCCAGGGAAGAATGTTCCCAGAGCCAGGTACGGCCCACTTCCTGCCTTGGCCTATCTGGCCCAAAGCCTGTGATGGGCTGGGTTTGGCTGTCAGAGGAGTTTGTGGCCATGGCAACCCACAAGGGAGAGGGTGTCATCTCAGTGATGCCACACATCCCCTGGCATCTCAGTGATGCCAGCCCATCCTCCTCCTCTGTTCACATCCTTCTTAGAGGTCTGTTGACGCCAAGGGGTATCATTCCTTCCGGCTTCTTCCCGGAAGTTCACCATTGTCGTAAGACCTCATAATACAGAGGAAAGTGCCCCAGCTTTGAGAACATTTAAAGTGGGTTTGAGCCTTGCTTGATCATAGTTGCACGACTACCTGGCCTTTCTGACTCTGTTTCCTCATATGTAAAATGGGCTAAATAACCTCTACCCCGAGTGAAGACTAATAATTATTTATATGATGCTCTTCCCACAAAATAGGTGCCTATTGAATGGTCCCCCTTATTTTTTCTTTCTTTCTTTTTTTTTTTTTAAAGATTTTTATTTATTTATTCATGAGAGACACACAGAGAGAAGCAGAGACATAGGCAGAGGGAGAAGCAGGCTCCCTGCAGGATACGGAACTCAATCCCAGGACCTTGGCATCATGACCTGAGCCAAAGACAGACTCTCAACTGCTGAACCACTCAGGCATCCCCCATAATTTTTTCATACACCTGTATTGAGCTATCATTGACAGACAACCACCTGCACAATTTAAACCTCACAGCTTGATGAGTTTGACATGTATACACTCATGAAATTCTACAGTCAAGTTAATGAACATAAGCATTACCCCTCTAGGTTTCCTCCTTTGCCTTATCCTTCCCTCCTCCCCCTCTCTAGGTCCTGCCTCCCATCCCCAGGCAACTCCCTTTCTATCATTATAGATAAGTTTGCATTTTCTAGAACTTTTTATAAATAGCATAATACAGCACATGCTCTTCTTACTCTCAGCATAATTTTTTAAAGTATTGTTTAAGTTTTTAATTTAAATTCCAGTTGGATAACATGCAGTGTAATATTAGTTTCAGGTGCACAATACAGTGATTCAACACTTTCATACGTTACCTGGTGCTTATCACAAGAGCACTCCTTAATTATTTGATATTCATCTGTGTTGTGTGCATAAATAGCTCATTATTGCCGAATAGCATCTTACAATAAGGAAACGCCACTATCTGTTTATCCTTTTATCTATTAACAGACGTTTGGGTTGTCCCCAGTTTTTAGCTATTAAAATAAAGCTGAAAAAAAAAACAAAACAAACAAAAAGCTGATTTAAGCATTTGTGAAAATTTTTTTGTGAGGACCTATGAATTCTTTTTCCTGCATCATCACCTAAGAGTACAATGGCTGGGTCTTATGGTGGGTGTATGTTTAGCATTTTAAGAAGCTTGCCAAATTGTTTTCTAGAGTTGTTGTATCATTTTACATTGTCCCCAGCACTACATGAGAGTTCTGGTTACCCCAGTTCCTTGCCAACACTTGGTATAGTCGGTCTTTTACATTTTAGCTATTTTAATAGGTATGTGGTGATACCTTGTGGTTTTATTTGAATTTTCTTAAAGGCTCACGTAAAAAAAAAAAAAGATTTGTTTGTCTTCTTATGATTAAGCGGGGTTTTTTTATATATTCTATAAACAAGTCCTTTATCGGAGAGGTTTGAAAATATATTTTCCGATTCGGAGGC